GGGGGCGCAGCCCCCTCCCTCTCCCCTATATATAGTTGAGGTCTTTGGGGCTGCCAACACATGAGTTTTGACCTTTTCCTGGCGCAGCCCTACCTTTCTCCCTCCTCGTCTCTTGCGGTGCTTGGCGAAGCCCTGCTGGAGTACCACGGTCCTCCACCACCACCACGCTGTCGTGCTGCTACTGGATGGAGTCTTCCTCAACCTCTCCTTCTCTCCTTGCTGGATCAAGGCATGGGAGACGTCATCGGGCTGTACGTGTGTTGAACGCGGAGGTGCCGTCCGTTCGGCACTAGGATCTCCAGTGATTTGGATCACGACGAGTACGACTCCTTCAACCCCGTTCTCTTGAACGCTTCCGCTTAGCGATCTACAAGGGTATGTAGATGCACTCTCCTTTCCCTCATTGCTGGTCTCTTCATAGATAGATCTTGGTGACACATAGGAAAATTTTGAATTTCTGCTACGTTCCCCAACATGTATATCTCTCCCATGCCAATGTACAAAAATTTGAGGTCTACATACCTTTTCCACTTCTACCTACAATTCCATTGTTGTCTTTGAATAAGCTACAGCAAGTGCAACAAAACAGATTGCAACAAGTAGCTTATGGACTGAAATTTGTGGTATTATTCATTTGTCGTATTGTCGCTCAGTTCATCCTGGTTGTGAAGCTAAACATGACATGCTATTCTTGATGTAATTTCCAAATTGCAATCCATGATCAAGCAAAAGACTACAATAAATGTGACTTACATGTTGCTTGCATTCAACACCTTCAGGACCACACGCATCCATCTCCTCCTCCGGCCGTTGCTGCCATTAAGCCACTTGCTCAGGACCTGCACAAGGCATCCACCTTCTCTTCAGCACCAGTCTCGCCACTAGAATGCTTCTCCAGCAGGGGAGGGCGATCTGCGCCGATGCGCGCAGGGGAGGGTAAGCACCCGCGGAGAGCTGCGCTGTCGCGCGCGGGCGTGGGGGAGAACCCGTGGCAAGCTGCGGTGGCTTGTGTAGGTATCCGCGAGGCGAGGACGAGCTGCGCCGGCGCCTACAGACATGGACGAGCACCGGCGACGAACCACAGTGGCTCGCGCAGGCATCAGCAAGGCATGGGCCATCGGCGGGGGAGCTACGGTTGCTCGCACACGCATGGGCAAGCTATGGCGCAGAGATGCGGTGGCTTCCGCAAGCAGCAGTGGGGTACGGCGACGAGCTAGCCCAAGAGCAATCCTTATCCAACCAGTCCACACACATCAGATAAGGTTAGATAGCATCAGGGGCACTTTGGTCCTTTCAAGTGCTAGAAAATGGAAAAGAAAAAAAAGAAATGGCATGATAATGAAAGTGCACTGAACTGGGTGGCATTTTTATGAAGTAAGTACTATTAAAAGCAGAAAATAACCTATTTTCTTCTAAAAAACAATATAAATCTTACTTTTTTTTGTCGGGTTGGCTCACGCCCAAACTGGGCCACAAGGCAGTCGACTCCTTCAGACTAACTAATATCAATTAGTTGATTCAGCATTTTTTTGCACTGCCTAGCCTCGATTTGTTTTTCATATGAAGTGACTCACATGCTAATTAATTCTTCCTCCCACCTCGCTTATGTTGGTTTTGATTAATTAAAACTTATTCTGCCAGTCAACAATGTATAGATATGTTGACTTTTATCTTTCTGTACTATTTATCTTTCGCTCCTCTACTGCACCGAATTCATTGTAGTTGTCAAGCAAAAAGAAAACTTCAGTTTAAACACTTTGTTTGAAAAGAAATAAAGATACATGCGTCTAAGTTTACAACCTTATTAAACAAACAAAGTAGCTCTCATGTCCACTTTATATTCTGTCAGAGAAATCAAGGCAAACAAGGATTCTTAAAATAAAAAAGGTTATCTCTAATTTCAAGATAGTTTGCAATCCGTCGAGATCTAGGACATTCATCCATTCAAAACGGACTAAGTTTGAATGAAATGAAAGCAACTTCAACATTGTGTACATAGGGAACAAACCACCAAGAACCAAAGCATAAGAACTAGCCTCATCTCTTTACCACTACATCACTGAGACAAACCCAGCTGGACGATCAACATCTTATCTAAAAAAAGAACAAGAGCTTTATAATTCTGTGTCCAGTAGCCACTATCACTATCTACTGTAGATCACTTATGCACGTACCAACTAGATGTATTCTTTTCTTGTATGAACTACTTTGCAATGAATCAAGTCTTGGGACGAGTTACCAAATATTACCAAAAAGAACAAATAGTTTGTAAATTCATGTGCCGCGGCAATGCCGCCGCGCACTACCTGCTAGTACTCACTAGTGCAACAGAAGACACACACACACACACACACACGTGCGCGCGAGGAGGAGTACTGCTTGAGGCTGATTGCCTTGCTTTGATTGGAATGGAATGATCTTACAGCGACGGGCATTGGTCCTTTATATAGCCTACTGAACCGACTATAGTGCGTACGTGTTGATGTCAATTACGTAAGTAACATCATGGCTGACCTACAATAGTAGAAAACCAAAATGGTCTTGCCAACTTACTGCTACTCCCTTCGTAGCTAAGTAATACTACCCTGGTGCATGCATGTTGCCGACATGCAGCCTTCGAAGAC